TAATGGATTTAAATCTGGTGATCGAGGAGGCCAAGCCACCGGTCCTCCTCTCCCTATCCAACGATTTTCGAAAGTAGATGCAAATGAACATTTTTTAAAATTTTCGGAAATAAGGTAAGAAGTATTCCCTAACATTAATTTCTGAGTAAAATTTCTATATTCTCTCAATTTTTCATTTACATCTGGGGTTTTTTTGGTATGAGAAATCATAATTTGGTATCTAATTTAATGTATCTTTTAGAGGGCGCCACATAAGCCACATGAGTGGCATAAATGTACGCTAAACTTTTTTGCCCATCAAGGTAGCGCTCTTTTGGGAAAAAATATTAAAGGCACGGCATTGTAAGAACAAAAATGTATACTTGCTAACAACCTCTAAACTTAACGGTTTTCGAGATAATCGAATTTTAAAAATCGGCTGCATAATTCTTTAATTCATTACGAGAAATAGTAACGTAGTAGACCGAAATCACGAATGATTTTAACAGCTAAATATTCTTGTTTTCATAATCTATGACGTTTGAAATAGTTTTAATTGAATATTTCAGATAATTAAGGAATAGCAGAAAATGCCGAAACAATAATTTTTCTAATACAGAAATGAGAGATATGGTTACTATTTACTGCCAGCAATATTTCGACGGACGTGCTGCGAAATGGGAATATTTCAGAAGATATCCAAACAGGCTGCCACCTAATCACCAAACATCTGAAAATCTATTTAGGAATTTAGACGAAAGTGGTTCATTTCGTCGTAAACGTGATAATTTAGGCCGACCGAGAATCATTACGCCTGATCAAGAATATGAAATTGGTTCACGTTGCAGATGATCTTCAAGTTAGTACATGAAGGTTATCTTCAGCTTTAAGAATCAGTAAAACTTCAGTTTTAAAAAGACTAAACCTCGATANATGAAATTGGTTCACGTTGCAGATGATCTTCAAGTTAGTACATGAAGGTTATCTTCAGCTTTAAGAATCAGTAAAACTTCAGTTTTAAAAAGACTAAACCTCGATAAATATCACCCTACCATTTTACGCCTGTGCAAAATTTATTGCCAGCAAATATTACCATTGAGATACCAATTTGCAAGTGATATGCGAAATAGGCAAAATCTTGACCCCACCTACCTTTATTAATAGAATATTATTTACGGAGGAGGCAACATTTAGCCGCCGTGGTATTTTTAATTTAAGAAATAAACAAATCTGGGAAATTGAAAGTCCTCATTTTAAAAGAGAAAGACATTTTCAACACGAATTCAAAATAAATGTATGGTGTGGGATCATTGGTGACCATTTTTTAGGGCCATACGATTTCCCGCATACTTTGAATGGTGAGAACTACTTACATTTTTTACAAAATGACTTCATTGATCTTTTGGAAGAATTGCCACTAAATTTCAGGCAAAATATGTGGATTATACAAGATGGTGCACCTCCTCATTATATGAGAGAAGTCAGAACATATTTAAATACCAACTTTCCTGAACGCTGAATTGGTCGTGGTAGTCATTTCCCTTGGCCAGCACGTAGCCCAGACTTTAATCCTCTCGATTTTGGCGTATAGGGC